AGGGATACAGGTGATAGGCAGGGGGCCAGGGATACAGGTGATAGGCAGGGGGCCGGGGATACAGGTGATAGACAAGGGGCCGGGGATACAGGCAATAGGCAGGGGGCTGGGGATACAGGTGATAGGCAGGGGGTCGGGGATACAGGCAATAGGCAGGGGGCCAGGGATACAGGCAATAGGCTAGGGGCTGGGGATACAGGTGATAGGCAGGGGGCCGGGGATACAGGTGATAGGCAAGGGGCCAGGGATACAGGCAATAGGCAGGGGGCGGGGATACAGGCGATAGGCATTGGGCTGGGGAAACAGGCATTATGCAAGGGGTGTTTTGCCTGTATCTCTAGTCTGGTCTAGACCTTTTGCCTGTAACACCAGTGTTCCCGGCTGGGTTATTATCATTCACGAAAACTAACGAAATAATGAAAACCAAATGTGAAAAAAACATTTTTGTTACCAGAAATAAAAATAAAACTTTATTGTATGTTTAAAAAACTAACTAAAACTAAAATAAGAGAGGAAATGTCTTTTTTTGTCAGTTTCTGTCGATTTTGCCAGTCTGTCAGTTTTTGTCAAATAATTTTATTCACAACTCCAGATGGATTATTTCTTGGCTGTGTCAGTTTTACACATTCAAACTTACGGAGCCCCGGAAGAGACATGTAGGGGGAAAAAATCATGGTTGGAAAAAAAAGATCTTGCAATACTTTTCTACATAATGTGCCAGTACAAAAGGCAGAATTAATGGACTAATAAGTAGAAATATGAACGATACAGACATGTCCCATTAAGTGTGCTTTAAACATTAAACTATGGGGGACAATGCACACCATGTAACTTTCACATGTGTGTTTTTATACGAATAGGTGATAGGCAGGGGGCCGCAGATACAGGAGCTGGGATACAAAGTGATGCACAGAACGCCAGGAATACAGGTGATACACGCTGAACCAGGGACACAGGTGATAGGCAAAGGGTCGGGGATATAGGAGAAATGCAGAGGGTTGGGGATACAGGCGATACACAAGGAACAGAGTGATAGGCAGGGGGCCGCAGATACAGGCAATACATAGGGGACCAAGGATACAGTAGATTCGCAGGGGGTTGGGGATACAGGCAATACGCAGAGGGCTACAAATCGCATTGTATACATGTTCACATGTAAAATAACCTTAAAGTCCAGAAATACATTCTCGTCCGGCAGCCTTAGGAACAGGGAGAACAGCACTAAACATACAATTTGCATGTGAACAGGGAGAGAGGCCGAGTACACTGAACACACAGTTTACATGTAGACAGGGAGAGAGGCAGAGTACACTGAACACACAGTTTACATGTAGACAGGGAGAGAGGCAGAGTACACTGAACACAC